ATGTAATTCCTTGAAACATAATTAAATAACATATCCTTATTAATTAACTTAAAATCATTAAGAATAACAATATATATATCAAAAATAATTTGAATTTACCGACACTCAATTCACCGACAAGCTTAATTCACTAACCTTAAACATAATTCTGGTATAATTACTTTGTCAGTGAATTAATTGTCGGTGAATTGATTGTCGGTAAATTGATTGTGAATTGAGTGTCAGTGAATTGAGTGTCAGTGAATCAAGTGTCGGTGAATTGAGTTGTCGGCGAATTGAGCTGTCAGTGAATTAAGCATGTTGGTGAATCAAGTGTCGGTGAATTAAGTGTCGGTGAAATGAAATGAACATGTCGGTGAATTGATTGTCGGTGAAATGATATGTCTACGAAATGAGTGTCAGTGAAATGAGCGGCACCAAAAATATCAATTGAATTGAAATCAATTATTACTTGAATAGTATTGTTTTAGATTTAATTAAATTCTTACAAAAACAAAATTCAAGTTTTTTATATTAAAGAATGATAAAGTTCATGACAAGTGTGTCAATTGTTTTTTGAATATAATATTTGATAATAAACCAGTGGACGTTAAATAAGATTTTTCGAGTTCTTTTACAAGGAAAATAACAAAATGGAGGATTATGAGTACTTTACGCATGTCTCTACTTCCCCTGAACTTGTCAATACGAGCAGCCCTGATCAGCAGAACTATATTCTTAAGATTTGTGCTAACAAATTTAGACAAAACAAAAAAAAAGATGATGATGAAATTTTTCCAATTCTCTTAAAATTAGCTGATTTGGGATTATATCCTAAAGCTGAATATATTTTGAGTCTCTTATATATTAATAAACAAGGAATTGCAAAAGAAGAAACTGCTCCAAACGTAGAATATACTAAACAATTTAATAAATGGTTGAAACAGGCTGCTGAAAAAGGACATGCTGAAGCAAAGGAATTATATTATAAAATCGAAGATTAAATCTTAAACTTTTGAAAAATTATATTAAGCAAACTAATTTTAATTATTTGTAATTAAAGTTTGTAGAGTAAGTTTTTCTGATTCTAAAATTGGCTATGAACTCAGAAAAAGATATAAAATTTTAAAAATTAAGTATTGTGCTAGAATAGTTCAAAATTTTACTATATAAAATTTTAAAAATTAAGTATTGTGCTAGAATAGTTCAAAATTTTACTATATAATAGATAAATAATTTTATCTTATTATAAAAGTTTGATAAAAATTAATTGTAATTTGAAAGTTTATTATTAACAACTTTAACTCTAACCTTAAATAAATGAAGTAATAGTATATGATATTTAAAACCACCTTGATCACG